CTACCATCTGGTGATTTGCTCCTTAAATAACCACAGCTGCTGGGGCTAGGTGAGACCAAATCCAGATCTCTGATGTGGGTGGCAGGGAATCAGTTGAGCCATCTTCAGTCCCACCCAGTGTCTACACTAGCAGGTAACTCCAATCTGAGGCTGGAACCAGTCTTCAAACCCAAGTCGTCCAATATAAGACGTAAGTGTATTGACCAACATCTTAACTCCTAAGCCAAATGCTTGCCCCAAAATAGAAGTTTTGAAAATGAGTAGATACTCTTCCATTTATTTATTGTATCCTGTGTTTCATTCTTGAGTAGATTCAGTTTGCCTTCATGTGATCACTATAGTACCAGGACATAACAGTGATGGATCATGACTTGACTTGCTAAAAGCTTGCCTTCTTATTCAAAAGTAGATGTGTGGGCCAGTGCCGTGGCTCCCTTGGCTAATCCTCCGCCTGTGGCGCCGGCACCCCAGATTCTAGTCCTGGTTGCTCCTCTTCCAGTCCAGCTCTCTGCTGTGGCCCAGGAGGGCAGCGGAGGATGGTCCAAGTGCTTGGGTCCCTGCACCCGCATGGGAGACCGGGAGGAAGTACCCGGCTCCTGGCTTTGGATTGGCGCAGCGCAGGCCATAGCAGCCATTAGGGGAGTGAACCAACGGAAGGAAAACCTTTCTCTCTGTCTCTCTCACTGTCTATAACTCTCTCTGTGTCTTTCTCACTGTCTAGCTCTGCCTGGCAAAAAATAAAAAAATTTTAAAAAGTAGATGTGTACCTTCAATCTTTTTTAAATCTCTTTTGAGCACTGTTGTATGTACTGGGAATACAGCAGTTAATGAAACAAATGCAAACTCCTGTTCTCATGGAACATACATCCTGGTAAGATCTTGTTGGAAGATTGGGCATCCTACCTTTTGAGGCAGTTTCGCCTTTCCAGCCCACACTCTAAATATAGAATAAAATTCCTTCTAAGCCAGAAGAATGCTTTTGAAAATACACTACTCTTGCTTTACTTTGATATCTTGATCATAAAATTGCCAAAAATATTAAAAATCAGAGAGTCATTTTCCTGTTTTCTTTTCTCTTCTTCCAGACTAGTTCCTTTTCTATCCATATATAGAGATGAGATGTGTTAGCCTGTTTTACTTGAGATAGTAACTTTGTGATCATAACTGGAACATTCAGAAATGTCTGATTGTAGCACACTGTGAATGCAGCAGAGGCTCCAGATTAGATTCCTGGGGCCTTCTGTGATCAGTGACTTCACTTCTAATCTAAGCTCCCTCTCACTCAGCAGCTGACCTTTACTACAAATGACAGTGAGAAAGAAGTAAAAGACTTCTTGCAATTCATCATCCATTTCAAAATTAAGCCATAAATATTAGGAATGTTTTTATATGCTATAGCCTTAAGCTATATTTTAATATTGTATTAAATATTTTGACAGTAATGGTTTTAGATGTGTATGAAATTTCATTGATTATGAAACTGTATGTACTCCAAAGTTTTTTTTGTTTCGTTGTTTTTGTTTTTGTTTTTTGTGTTTTTGTTTTTTTGACAGGCAGAGTTAGAGACAGAGAGAAAGGTCTTCCTTTTCCGTTGGTTCACCTCCCAAATGGCTGCTACGGCCGGCGTGCTGGGCCGAGCCGAAGCCAGGAACCAGGTGCTTCCTCCTGGTCTCCTATGCGGGTGCAGGGCCCAAGCACTTGGGCCATCCTCCACTGCCTTCCCAGGCCACAGCAGAGAGCTAGACTGGAAGAAGAGCAATCGGGACAGAATCCAGTGCCCGGACCAGGAATAGAACCCAGGGTGCCAGCACCACAGGTGGAGGATTAGCCAAGTGAGCCGCGGCACTGGCCTACTCCAAAGTTTTTTAAAAATGTACTTACACCAAAACTGTGGACAATAAAGAAGCCCTCTCCGCTTACTTATCAACAAGCTTCCCTTGGCTACCTAATACGTTAACAGCTCATAATTGTCATTTGCCTGCCTGTTATAGTGACTTGTTATCCCATAATAGTTATCTTTGCTAAAAATCTGCTGAGCTATCTTTTTAGGCTCCCTAATAAAACTGGACAGAACCGTCAATAGCCAACATTGTTACTGGAGCCTGCAGGGAACAATTTAGACTGACATGAGAGTTAGCGTATGGTTCCTTATGATGTTAAATGACATACCTCTGCTGATGTTCCACCAGCCACCCTGAACATGTGACACATGTAAAGGCGTGACTTGTTAATGTGTGTGCTCAAGGGACTTTCCATACTTCTTTACTCTGCATCTGTTGTTGCACCAGTTGTACCCCGTTTACTCTAACTCCATAAATTCTCGAACACTTTTCTGAACAAGGAGATAGGTTTGGTTTGATTTTTGTTCCTCCATCACTTTAAAAGCTTATAATAAACCTTCACTTCATCCAAAGATTTATATCCTGATGTTTTTCTAAGGGTAGCACACAGGCAGGGCAGGCCTGTTGCTTGGTAACAGTATCATTATGTGAATTTAGAAAGTAAATATCCAAAGAAAGAAAAAAACAAAAAACAGAAACGAAAGTAAATGTCCAAAATGTCCCCACCTCCAGAAATAACTTAGTTTTTATTTATTAGTAATAAGTGTATATTGACTATTTTTTGTTCCACAATACATTTCATGTAATAATAATGAGCAATGCTACAGTGAACATCCTTTTATGTATAATACGTCATCTGTTGTTTCCTTAGGAAACAATGATTGGTATTGCTATAAATATTATATATAAATATATAACAATATTTTTGAAACATTCCTTTTGAATTTATAATATCCTGAAGGAAAAAGATATATTTACACAGAGAATGATGTAGAGCATGATGATTTCCAAAAAGTAGAGAAGATGCAATAAAAAGGAACAGCTTGTTAGAGAAATGAAGCCTTCCTTAGAGGTACAGGGGCTTAAGCTGAATCTTAGAAAATGCATAGGCCACATAGAGTTGGTATTGGGGAAATACCCACTAAACCATATGGACGGCTTCCAATCCAGCTCCCTGCTAACTCGGAAAGTAGCAGAAGATGGCCCAAGTCCTTGAACCTCTGTACCCACATGGGAGACCAGGATGAAGGTGCTGGCTCCTGGCTTCATCCTGGCCCAGTGCTGGCTATTGCAGCCATTTGGGGAGTGAACCCGCAGATAGACAATATCTCTCTCTCTCTCTCCGTAACTCTGCCTTTCAAGTAAATAAATAAATCTAAATTTAAAAAGAAAAGGTTTATTCCCATTGTATTTATATGTACCAGGGGTCTTCAGAAAGTTTATGAAAAAAAGTATTGGGGCCAGCGTTGTGGCATAGTCAGTAAAGCCACTGCCTGTGGTGCCAGCACCCCATGTGTGCACCAGTTTGTGTCCCAGCTGTTCCACTTCCAATCCAGCTCACTGCTACGGCCTGGGAAAGCAGTGGAAGATAGCCCAAGTCCCTGTACCTCTGCACCCGCATGGCTCCTGGCTTCAGATCTGCTCAGTACAGCTCCAGCTGGCCATCTGGGGAGTGAACCAGTGGATGGAAGACCTCTCTCTCTCTCTCTCTCTCTCTCTCTCTGCCTCTGCCTCTCTGTAACTTTTCCTTTCAAATAATTAAATAAATCTTTAAAAAAATATATGGATTTTGGCCGGCGCCGCGGCTCACTAGGCTAATCCTCCGCCTAGCGGCGCCGGCACACCGGGTTCTAGTCCCGGTCGGGGCACCGGATTCTGTCCCGGTTGCCCCTCTTCCAGGCCAGCCCTCTGCTGTGGCCCGGGAGTGCAGTGGAGGATGGCCCAGGTGCTTGGGCCCTGCACCCCATGGGAGACCAGGAAAAGCACCTGGCTCCTGGCTCCTGCCATCGGATCAGCGCAGTGCGCCGGCCGCATCGCGCTGGCTGCGGCGGCCATTGGAGGGTGAACCAACGGCAAAGGAAGACCTTTCTCTCTGTCTCTCTCTCTCTCACTGTCCACTCTGCCTGTCAAAAAAAAAAAAAAATATATATATATATATATATATGGATTTCAAAACATTTTGTACCAAAAGAAACTTTTTCTGTTAATTCTGTTTTTTCCCCGAAACTTGTTGAATTCCTCTCCTATAACTGTACAAGAGCATTCATTTGCCACAGTGGGTAAGACTGCTTGGGATTCTCACATTCCGTAGTGGAGTACCTGGGTTCTAGTCTCAGCTGTTCCTTATTCTAGCTTTCTGCTAAGATGAACTCTAGGAGACAAAGTAATGAAAGGTTCAAGTGGTTGGGTTCCTACCATCACCCACTTGGAAAGCCAAGAATAAACTCCTGGCTACTGGCTTCAGTGTGGACCAGCTCTGACTGTTGCTGGTATTTGGGGAGTGAGCCAGCAAATGAAGATCTCTGTCTCTCTCAAATAAATAAAAATAAATTTTTTAAGTTAATGTAAATTAGAACTTAAAAATAATTTTATTTTTGTGCCAAAAAATCATGAAATCCATGCATAGTTTTTCATAATATACATTTTCCATGAACTTTTTGAATCCTTTCCTCAAATAATTTTCTTATTTTAAATGATGCTTTTATATCAAATAGTTGTGATTTTTTAAAAAAGTTTTATTATGTGAGTATAGATGTTCCTAAGGCAACTTCCTTGCTAATTTTTTTTATGTAATAGAGCCTTTTTCTTTCATCATCTTCATACAATGTCCACATTGTCCTGGGAATTTTGCTATATTTGTTGCGGTTCCCTGAATACTTTAGCAAAGCTTGTTTCATTTTTGTTTCCAGTTGGCAAATAGACAGCCTTGAACAAAAGCCCCAGCCCTCTGCACGGCAGACATGTTCCACATTATAATTTTACTTGAGCTGCACGTAATGACCAGCATTCCGTTTTGGACTAGGGTGGTGAAGAAGTAAGAGATTTACTAATCTCAGTTAGTTTTTAAAGTATTTTTCATACCAGAATTTGAGCATTCATATCCTGGGGCAATTTCAGGTATTTTAATTGTAATGAAATTTACTTTTATTCTCTCTGTAGAAAACCAGGCAAGAGCAAAGGAATCTGATTTATCAGATACTCTGAGTCCAAGCAAGGAAAAAAGCAGTGACGACACTACGGGTGAGTTTTAATTTAACCTGATGTTTTACAGTCTACAGATGTTATTGACAATTTAGGTATATAGCTTCATGTACGTGGAGATTTCAAAGTTTGTGTTTTGAGAGAAAAGCAGTGTTTGCTTTTATCAAGTCAGTCCCTTGAATCTTGGATATTCTGTTAAAACTCTTTCAACTATCCAGGTACAATATGCATATAAATTCTGGTTATTTTGATAATGATAGCTTGCTGATTTATTTGAGTACTGATTATAATTTTTTCTCCCCTCTGTAGACGCCCAAATGGATGAGCAAGACCTGAATGAATCTCTTGCTAAAGTGTCCCTATTAAAAGGTACTTTCCTTTTTTTTTTTTTTTTTTAATGATGTTTGAAACCAGGGCTTCAGATTTATACTTTGTCACAAAGTCTATTCTATGTATTATGTGAAGTGTTAAGTTTTAGTTAAGAAATTAATATAGATTCTATAAAGTAGCAGGAAGTAAAATTTAAAGTTAATGTTGGTGCCCAGTGCTTCAAACAAAATTATTTAAATTGTAGAATAAATTGGATCAGTTAAGATTGTGAAGGGTAAAATAGTATAACAATAGTAGAACATGAAATGTAGCTGGGATTTTTGTTTGTTCTCATATCTGTGATAGGAACTTATTATCATTATTGAGGTGAAAATCTTAACTTTCTAGAAAGAATGACTTGTTTGCTGTTATCATATGGTAGTAGTTGTAAATTTCTTCATTTACTGGTCCTCTTCACCCACCAATAAATATCCCCAGATTCTTAGGATACTCATTAAGAAATTTTGGGCTGAGAAATTTTCAATAGAACTAAAATATGGAGTGGAATGCATGTAATGAACTCTCATCCCTAAATAGGAAGTACATTTATTTCTTGACATTTAATTGTGTAGAATAAAGTGAAAAAGAAATAAATCAGTGTTTAAAAAGTATTCTTAAAATAGAGTACATTAAAATAGAGTACTGATTAATCTGTTACTGTCAGCCTTTGATCTCTTTTACAGTGCCTTATTGGACACACACAGAAAAGTTGACATACATGTCTAGTCAGTGGGTTTAAACATGTTGGTAGTGGTGGGCTATCACCAAGTTGATCTCTGGGATCTGAGCAACAGTAGCAGCTTGAGGAAATTTATCTTTGTGGAAGTGACTATTATGGCTGAGCTCGTAAGGGATTTCTTAGTCTAGACTAAGAATTCTATAAAGAATTCTATAAAGAACGAGGTCTTGATTTCACCCTGCATGACCCTGCTGCTGGCCTAGTTGTATGATGGCAGTAGAGTGGAGATCACCCATATTCTGTCAGAGTTCTTTAGTCTTGACATCTTTCCTTGGATACTGAAAATTACATGGCCACTTGAGCTTTGTAATCTTTGTCTTAATTCCACAGCCAGGGGAATTCCTGGGAATTGCTATCCCAGGTAGCCAATTACTAATTTGTCCTTAAGTATGATCATAGTTTCCATCAACCTACTCTGTGTGACCATGTCAATAAGACTTTCTAGTGTCGTAATAATAAATATAAATTAATATTAATAAATATAAATTAATTATTGCCCAGAAATCTCAAATTCTCAAAAATGCAATATCAATATTATATAGAAGGCTGTAAGTGAAACAAAAAATATTGCAGAATTTATGGGCCTTTTTGGAAAGATGGAGAAACAAGAAGTGGGGTGATTAAGTAATGAGCAGTCCTCATACATAAGTCGTTCTTCTTACTGTTTTATGTACCAATAAATCGCCCAAAAATCTATAGCACCCAAGTTCAGATTTATAAGTGGCAGTTATGAGACTATTAATTTTATTCAGTTATTATTAGTTTGTTGTGATCTTATTTGTCAGTCTGTTTTAGGTTTGATTTTTATTGCATTGCTACCACAATGCCAAGCATTTAGTAAAACTCAGATATTTGATGAATGAATTAACTAATAATAGACTTCTTACATCAGAGTAGAAAGCCACTCTGAGTTCATTCCTCACTTTACCCTTTGTAGTGTATCCTTGGGCATGTTGCTTAACCTCACCATGCTTCAGTTTGTGTTTTGTTTTATTTGTCATTTATTAGACTGGGGAAAATGGACTTCATAGGATTGTTGTGAAGAATAATACTTAAAACAAAATGTTGGGAACATAGCATGTTATCCACCATAATGAAGACACTGATAATGATGATGGTAATGACTAATAAAAGCAGACCTGTCTGGGGTGGACATTTGGCCTCATGGTTAAAATTTTGGCCAAGACAACCACATCCCATACTTATGTGCCTAGGTTCAAGTCTTATCTCCACTGTCAGTTCCAGCTTCTTAATATTGTGCATTCTGGGAGACACAGGTGATGATGGCTAAAGTAGTTGATCCCTGCTATTCACATGGGAGACCTGGATAGAGTTTTGGGATCCCAGCTTTGTCCTGGCCCAATCCCTGTTGTTGAGGACATTTGGGGAGTGAACCAATGGTTGGGGAAGGTCTGTAACTCTACCTCTCAAATAAATAAATAACTAAGGTCTTAAAAAAAAAAAAAAAAAAAAAGATGACAGGGACAGAGGCATTTAGCTTAGCAGTTAAGATGCTGGTTAAGATCCCATGTCCTGCATTAGAATACATAGTTTTGATTCCTGGCTCCAGTTCCTGATTCTAGCTTCCTGCTAATGCATACTTTAGGAGACAGTGATGATGGTTCAAGTCGTTGAGTTCCTGCCACCCATGTTGGAGACCTGAATTGCATTTCCAGCTATTGACTTTGTCAGGTCCAGTCCCAGCCATGTTGCAAGCATTTGAGGAGTGAGCCAGCCACTTGAGGGGAGATTGATATTCATTCATTCTCTCACACTCTCTCTCTTCAATAAATAAAAATTTAAAAATTTAACTAAATAGCTAAATATAACATCTAAAATGTTCTTATATTTCTGTATTATTGCCAACTTTTTTTTTTAAGATTTATTTATTCATATTTGAAAGGCTAAGATAAAGAGAGAGAAGGAGAGACCTTCCATCCGCTGGTTCACTCCCAAATGGCTGCAACAGCTGGGACTGGACCAGGCCCAAGCCAGGAGCTTCTTCCTGGTCTCCCACATGGGTGCAGGGTCTCAACAGTTTGGGCCATCTTCCACTGCTTTCCCAGGTTCATTAGCAGGGAGAAGGATCGAAAGTGGGGCAGTCAGGACTCAAAACTGGTGCCCACAAGGGTTTGCTGGTTGGAGGCTTAGCCTTCTATGCCACACAGCAGTCAACCAAATTTTGTTAATGAGATAATATCTTCTATATCTACTGAAAGATTTTACAGTTAACTTTAAAAACAGACTAAAAACGTTCACCCAAGCTTGTAAAGTAGATTGACAGAAAAACACCCGTTCTAGGACAAAAGTGAGACATCATTAGACTCAAGCCACATAAACTAGTAACACTGTTTTCCCACACAAACATGTGAAATACAATGATCCCTTGCTCAAAAAAGATTTATTAGTCTTGACTAAAAAGTTTTTTGGTTTTTTTTTTTTTTTTTTTTTTGAGATTTATTTATTTGAAAGTCAGAGTTACAGAGAGAGGAAGGGAGAGATAGAGATCTTCCAAACCCTGGTTCACTCCCCAGGTGGCCACAGTGACCAAGGCTGCTCCAGGCTGAAGCCAGGAGCCAGCAGCTTCTTCCCAATCTCCTACTTGGGTTGTAGGTGCCCAAGCACTCGGACCATCTTCTGCTGCTTTTCCCTGGCCATTAATAGAGAGCTGGATCAGAAGCAAAGCAGCCATGAATTGAACTGGCATCCATCTGGGATACTACAGTGTCACAGACTGCAGCTTTACCTGCTACTCCACAATGCCGGCCCCTTTATATAAAAATATTTGGTCAATATCTCTACTTCTGTGGTCAAACACTGTATTTTGTTTGTTTACATTATTTGGTATGTGATGTCTTAATTGTTCTAATTAAAATGCTGATCTTTTTTCATTTTATGATACAAATAACTACTTTAATAGATTCCTATATTAGCACAGTTCATTGTTGCCTGGATTATATTCTGTCCCTGAAACATAATTATTTAACATAAAACATGTTATTTATTTATTTTGAGACTTATAAGGCAAGATTTATTAGAGTAAAAGACCTCCAGCCATCGTGGCATAGAGGGAGGCTTTCTGTTATTATTTGAAAAGCAAATACTATATTGGTTTTGTTCCACAATATCACTAATCAAGGGAAGAATTGTGCATAGACAAGAAATGTATGCTTTAATAGAATTTTAGAGGTGGGTTACGCATGATTCTTATAAATCGAAACAATCCTCTTAGTTCTTACATCAGTTTATTGTTATGTTTATTTTTAAAATTCGATTCATATACTTCAGATGGAAATAATTGGTAACTTGATATGTTAATCAGATAGTTAAGTGGCTACTATATGTTCAGCATTGTATTAAGCATATGATATGGAACAAACATGAGAAACTATATGGGTAATATTTGTTACTAAGTAGAAATCTTCTGTTTCTAGAAAAGTAATAGTTGCTTGTTAGGAAAGCAGGTTACTTCACTGCTTTCATATAACTAGAAGTTGCTGTGATTCATGAGAAAGACAGTTGAGCTAGAGATGAGAATTATAGTCCTGTCTCTACAGTTTACCAGATATGTAAACATGTGTAAGTCATTTCAGATCTCTGACTGTTATTTCCTCATTTGTTAAGCAAAAGAGTAGTTTACTTGATCTATGTTGTTGTTGTTTCTGGCTTACTTGTCTTGGAGTTCCAGTATTCTATGTATTTATAGGGGCTCAGGCTCCTTTAAAAATGAAACTAAATGCTATTGAGTAGTTTGAGGACTTGGATGGACTTGGTGGTTTGTTTGGGTTTTACTGTCCTGCTGTAAGGTATCAAGCAAGAGGTGCTGTTAGAGGCTAAGATGCAGAGACATTAGCTTGGGCTTTGAGGGATGGGTAGTTTAAGTGAAGAAAAGCAGTCATGAGCCAAAGCTACTAACTAGACTGGTTGGAACTTAGTGTGTTATGGAGTAATTGAAAATAGATAACTAGATTATGAAGAACTTTAAAGCCAGGCAAAGTTGTCTGGATTTGATAAAATAGAGAGGTCATGTAGGCTCTTGATCTAAGAGAATTGCTGTACTATTACAATGCAGAATAGAATGCAGAGGAGCAAGATAAGTTGGTAACAGGCCTTCAGGCAGAAATGACTGGGGCTTGTTCTAAAATAATGGCATTACTTTCTTTAGTTATGAAAAATTTTGAACACTAGAAAAATTGAAGAGTATCACAAACACTATATGCCCACTATCCAGATTTAGTAATTGTTAATATTTTGCCATATTTACTTTCTTTGTATATAGAAATTTTTTTATTTTGACATAATTTCAGAGTTATAGAAAAATTGCAAGAATATTTTTTTAATTAAAAAAAATTTTTTTAATTTTATTTTTATTTGTGGCTGGTGCTGTGGCATAGTGGGTTAAGCCTCCACCTGCAGTGCTGACATCCTATATGGGTGCTGGTTTGAGTCATGCCTGTTCCACTTCCAATTCAGCTTCCTGCTGATGATCTGGGAAAGCAGTGAAAAGTAGCCCAAGTGCTTGGGCCCCTGCACCACATAGGAGACCTGTAAGAAGCTCCTGGCTCCTGGCTTCAGGTCAACCCAGCCCTAGCCATTGTGGCCATTTGGGGAGTAAACCAGCAGCTTGAAGACCTCTGTCTCGTTTTTACTTTTTTTTTTTTTTTTTTTTTTGACAGGCAGAGTGGACAGTGAGAGAGAGAGACAGAGAGAAAGGTCTTCCTTTTGCCGTTGGTTCACCCTCCAATGGCAGCCACGGCTGGTGCGCTGCGGCCGGCGCACCGCGCTGATCCAAAGGCAGGAGCCAGGTGCTTCTCCTGATCTCCCATGGGGTGCAGGGCCCAAGCACTTGGGCCATCCTCCACTGCTTTCCCGGGCCACAGCAGAGAGCTGGCCTGGAAGAGGGGCAACTTGGACAGAATCCGGTGCCCCAACCAGGACTAGAACCTGGTGTGCCAGCACCGATAGGTGGAGGATTAGCCTATTGAGCCGCGGCGCCGGCCCCTCTGCCTCGTTTTATGTCTCTCTCTCTCTCTCTTTCTCTCTCTAACTCTGCCTCTCAAATAAAAAAAAATCTTTTTAAAAAACACTATTTAAAAAATGTATTTTTATCTGAAAGGCAAAGTTAGAGAGATCTTCCATCCACTGGTTCACTCCTCAAATGGCTGTGACAGCTAAGCTGAGGCAGACCGAAGCCAGGAGCCAGGAGCTTCTTCCAGGTCTCCATCATGGGTGGTAGGGGCCCAAGTACTTGGGCCATCTTCTGCTGCCTTTCCAGGCTATTAGCAGGGAACTGAATCAAAAGTGGAGCAAAACCAGCATCCATATGGGTTGCTAACATCGCAGGCAGCGGCAAAACCTACTTCACCACAATGCGGCCTCCCCCCATATATTCTTAATCCAAATTCTCCAGTTGTTAGCATTTCATCCTCATCTGCCGTTAGTGTTTTACTAAATTTACTCTTCTCCCTCCTTTCCCCTCCCTCTATTCCTGCATCATTGAGTGTCTGTTGCATGCCTAATAGCCTTTAGTCCTGAATACTTCATTGTATATTTCCTTTTTCTCTTACATAAATTCCATACCAGTCTCAAAATGGGGAAATTTACATTGATACTATTCTCAGATCCACAATTGTCCATCGTCTTCATAATGGCCTTTATGACTGAAGAAAAATCCCGAATCATGCATTGCATTCAGTTATCATGTCCTTTTCTTTTGTCTCCTTTAGTTTGAAATAATTCTTCAGTCTTCTGTTTGAAATTGACATTTTTGAAAAGTGCAAGACAGTTATTTTGTAAAACATTCCTCAGTTTGAATGTGTCTAACATTTCCTCATGATTAGATTCAAACTGCATGTTAGCAGCAATGTATCAAATAATATTTGGTATTATATCAGGAGGCACCTAATGTTAAATTACTCTATTATTGCAGGTGATGTTCATTTGACCATCTGACTAAGATGTTATCTACCAGATTTCTCCATTGTGAAGTTACTGTTTTCCTTTCTGTAGTTAATAAAGGTCTTGTGGGGAACTATTCTAAGACTATGAAAATATCAAATTACTTCTTACACTTTTAACCACTTAGTTTTAGCATCTTCTGATGATTCTTTCCTAATGATTTATTACTACAATTGTTGCCAAATAATAATTTCATAATTCTATAGTTCCTTCTAGAGTTTTTAGCTGGCTTTCTATAATAAGTAAGGGTCTGCTTTTTTTAAAATCTTCTCTTTTATTTATTTATCTATATCTATGAATTTGTGGATTCATAGTCTATTAAATGTGTTATAGTCTATCACTGTCATTATTTATTTTTATGCTCCAGTTGTCTCACGTTTGGCCAGGGGGAGCACCTTGTGTCTTTTTCACATGACATTTGACCTTCCTTATTGCTTCCCAAAAGCTGTTCTAGGTTCATTTTATACTTTGTTGTCCTTAACCCTGAAGCCAGCCATTTCCCCAAAAAAACCTAGTTCCTTTTAGTTGAAAATTGGATTTATAAACCAAGATCTAAGTATTTGGTGTCCTCGTTGCTACTGGGGTATAATTGCTTCTAGGCCTACTTAGTGGACAGACATGAGAAATAGATATGTGTGTATTAAAATGTATTAGAGTTCACACTCTGATCCATACGCTATGATCCAGAATTAATTCTTTTTTTAAGATTTGTTGATTTATTTATTTCAAAGGCAGAAACAGAGAGATTGTGGATCTGCTGGTTCACTTCTCAAATGGCTGTGACAGACAGAGCTGGGCCAGGCTGAAGTTAGGAGCCAGAAACTCCATCTGGATTTCCTATGTGGGTGGCAGGGGCCCATCATCTGCTGTGTTTTAGGCTCACTAGCAAGAATATGGATCAGAAATTGAGCAACAAGATCTCATATCAACACTCTGATACAGGATGCTGCTGTAACAAGCTGTAGCTTAACCCAGTGTACCACAATGCCAGAATTAATTCTGTGTTTGCTGTTTCCATATCTATAACTCTGTTCTCCAACAGAGAGAAATGGCTCCATTTATAATATATTTATTTACTTGATCACTTTTAGAATATACAGAAAGTAGTCAGAATTTTATCAGTGCTTTTGTAGAAAACAAGCTGATCTGTAGATATTTTTTTCTTAGTTACAAAATTACCATAAAGCAGTAGTCCTCAACATGGAGTGTCTTGCCCCTCAGGTAACATTTGGCAACATCTGGAGACTTTTTTGGTTGTGACTCAGGGAGTGCTACTGACATCTGTCTAGTAGGGAAGCTAGTAAATATCCTATACAGAGCAGCCTCCACAACAAAGAATTATTCAGCCCAAAAAGTCAGTAGGGCTAAGGTTGAACAATTCTAACACAGAGCTAAGAAAATTCTACTCAAGGAATTCAGTTAGATAATTTTTTGTTAAACTTCTTGAAAATAACATGTAGACATCATGATACTTCTCTCCTAAAAACTCCTACAAATAAGGACAGTGTCCTACATAATTACAAATCCAGAGATGGGGGCCAGATCCCTTGCAAACTCCAAAGGATATTGGCTGAAAAACCTGTGAGAGAAATTCTGTAGCTAATGTGACACTGTCTCTGCAACTAGAACATCTCTATTTCTGTGCGTCCCTACCCTGACCAAAAGATGTCTTAAAGGAATTGGTACATTGACCAGAGTAGATGAACCCAGAATCAACATTTTTCACAGAGAAAACAGAATATCATGAAAATATATGTATGTAGTACCCAAGACCTATGTAATTATATTATGATAATTTATTGTTAGCTCTAATTTGATGGATTGAAGTTGCTGTGGCTAAGATACTTTTAAATCAAAGTAATACTCAGATAGAATGCAATAGAAGAATATGACTTACCTGATATGTTTACTTCATTTGGTGAATTTTATTTCAATGGAAGATGAGCAAAGTATGCGGAAGGAGGTTAGAGGAAGGTCCATATGGAGATGTAATACTGGGTTTAATTTGTTGCAGTGAAACCACTTAGGTTACAGCATTTCATAATTCAGGAACTGTTTATTTGGTATCTGTATGTGTGGTGTTGGGAATGGTGATGAAAGTGGGCACAGTAGAGCCTAGTTTTTATTTTATGTTCCACAACTGGGATAATTGTGCTGAAAAAATTTTTTTTGAGAAGAGTTTTTGTTTTTTCATTTCCAGTTTCAAGTGAAGTTTTTCTGACTTGTTCTCGAGAAGTTTAAAAATTTCTAACAATTGTATTATGCCCATTTCAGTGGCTAACAAGTTTTACTAAGCTCTGCAATCATGGAATATATAATTTAATATGTAAATATATATCATAATATCATTACCATAGGTTACTAATATATATGTTTAACTGTGTTGTTTCTGCAGGATAAAATGACTAAAATACTTATTACTATAATTTGCTTCTAAATTTTATTTAACTCAGTTGTGCTGTGTTGTTTATGCATGTGGAAACACAAAAAGATTGCCAGTCTTTGATTGTAAAGATTATAGTGTGACACTAAGTCTTGCTTTTGAAATAAACATGTTTTTGTCAGATGACTTGCAGGGTGCACAGTCAGAAACTGAGGCAAAACAAGAAATTCAGCATCTTCGCAAGGAATTGATCGAAGCCCAGGAGCTAGCTAGAGCAAGTAAACAAAAATGCTTTGAACTTCAAGGTGAGATCAAGATTGCTTTGATTCTTTAGGGGATATGTGGAAGCAACATGGTAGAACTGGATGGCCCCAAACATGGATTCCAAAGGCAGCACATCTTGTTCCAGACCTTGAGATCTTAGGATATTCCATAACTTCTGTAAAAGTTAGGTTTCAGATCACTAGACAGAGAGTACAGTGCTCGCTCTCACATGTGATTGAGATCAAGTAAGATCTCTACCAGTGAAAGGTCTAAATAGTTAATTATATATTACGTACAACAAAAGGAAAAAACATAAATTTCTAGTTAAACCTATGGTAACTACTTTACAAATGTAAATGTTTGTAAATGTATTCATCAGTAAATGAGAGGAAGCAGGCAAAGTTCAGCAAGTTAAGGCAGATCTGCTACATCCCAGCTACTACTTTTTGTATTGTCTGACAGCAGAGTGGACAGTGAGAGAGAGAGACAGAGAGAAAGGTCTTCCTTTTGCCGTTGGTTCACCCTCCAATGGCCGCCACGGCTGGTGTGCTGCAGCCAGCGCACCGCGCTGATCCAAAGGCAGGAGCCAGGTGCTTCTCCTGATCTCCCATGGGGTGCAGGGCCCAAGCACTTGGGCCATCCTCCACTGCACTCCCTGGCCACAGCAGAGAGCTGGCCTGGGAGAGGGGCAACTTGGACAGAATCCGGCGCCCCGACCAGGACTAGAACCTGGTGTGCCGGCGCCACTAGGTGGAGGATTAGCCTATTGAGCCGTGGCGCCTGCCACCAGCTACTTTCTAATAGCTCCCTTACCTTTAGTATCATAAGCCGGTAGAGTCTGTGCTGCTCCCTGGAACTTATATTTCCATATCATTTGCAGTAATTACCTGGTGGCAGTCAGTCAGTATCTAAAGTTCTAAAATGAGGAGCATTGAATGGCCCATGGAGTCCTGATGTTTTCTAAGATGACCTTCCTAACCAGAGGAAGATTGACCTTCTGGAAAGGAACAGGGGCTTCCTGTTACTACTTCCTTCCTTTCCTACTTCTTGAAGACACTTGAACTGGTGGTGACTTAACTTGAAACTTTTGAAGGGTCCAGACTAAAATATTTAGTTACAATGAAAAGACACTAGTAGTAGTTAGTGATTGTCAGTAGACATGAGAAATTTAACTGTTTTTTAAAATTTAAGCTCAAAATACTGATTAACAATTATCATTAATTCTCATATGAGGAATAGCATATATTATCTTGGTGGTACAATGTCTAGAAAACCTTCTATTCAATTGATTTTTTTTTTACTTTTAAAGAAATATAGAAATTACATATAAAGATTTTTTACTTACTACTGTTTTGTGCTCCTAAAAACTCTAAACTATCTAACTGCTAATACTGATAATACTTACTGAGTAACTTGTTTCTTTCAATAATCTGTAGGAGAAATTTTTTAAAAACTTCCAGCTGATCAATTCTGAATACTTTCATTATCTCATAAGATTAGATATAATGTGTTTTTATTTTTAGCTCTTTTGGAAGAAGAAAGAAAAGCCTATCGAAATCAAGTTGAGGAATCCAGTAAACAAATACAGGTTCTTCAAGGTATGGAACACCCTAAGGCTGTTTAAGATCCTTATTCTTTGTTTGCTTTTAGTGACTCAAAAGAAATAGAAAGTCAGCAGGCTGAGGGGTCCCCATTTTTCATGGCTTTGGTTCTCTGGAACCTGACATTATAACCAGACTCTTTGTGTAGCTTTTATTTTTATATTTTTAAGAAGATACAAGGGAATACTTCTTAGTACTCTAGTATTAGACGCTTGAAGTGGAGAGAGCAGAGATGATGACTGGGATTTGGTAAGATGGTTACTTTCTGGGTTATGTTGTGAGTTGCTACAGAGAGGGTCTTTGGATAAGAAATCTACTTTGTGCATGAGCTCTTTCGGTGTTGTTATTATATCTAATTCTCAAAACACTTGCACTAAAAATATACTCCACCTGAAATGAATAGTAATCTCTTCACTGCCTTCATTGGTAGTGTCTGCTCTTTGTCCCCAGCACTCTGCTATCTCTTTGTCCTGCTTGTTGTCAGGGTCATTACAGAAATGACCAGAAAAAGCTCTGCCAGACAGGTGTTTACTTCAAACCAAAGCTCCTAGAACTGTGAGGCTGTCATTGTGAGATTCCTCAGGATAAGTCTTTCTTTCCTGTGCCATTTTAGAACTTGAAATCAAAATTAAATTGCCTTTATTGTGAAAGAAGGAACTAATGGTATTTTAAAATTTTAACTTGGAAGGTAGGTGGGAAGACGTTTATATAGACAAGTAATAATAGTTCTAATGAAACAGGGAATACAATATGAGACCTGTGATATTTGTCCAGAAATATCTAAGAGAAAAATGAATCACTGGGCTCCTTTTTTCTTATGTTTTGGGTGGGATGTTTGCATCATAAAAGCTTTTAAATATTATATTATGGTCAAATTAGAATTTCTGGGATAGGTTATATGTGTTTTATATTGAAAACTCTTACTATATTTTAATGTTATTATCCTCTAGTTTAGAAAATCTGATTTGCATCCATATTTCCGATCTGTACTGTGAATGGACGATTTTCCCTAAAGGTTCACAATGTTGCCTTTTGTTTTAAAGCTGTCTTGCCCAGGCGTCATTGAGTGCCCCCTAGTGATAGCAATGTGTATTTCAGGACTTAATCACAAGCCTGTGATCATCTTACCTCTGGCCAGTTTTGCCTTTTCAAACTTTGAACCTGTCAGTCTCAGTCCTTCCTATAAATTTAAAAGGTCTAATTTTTTTAAAAGATTTATTTTATTTATTTGAAAGACAGAGTTACAGAGAGGGGTAGAGAGAGAGAGAGAGAGGTCTTCCATCCGCTGGTTCACTCCCTAGATGCCGACAACGGTCAGAGCTAGGCTGATCTGAAGCCAGGATCCAGGAGCTTCCTCCGGGTCTCCCAGGTGGATGTAGGGGCCCAAGGACTCAGACCATCTTCTACTGTTTTCCCAGACTATAACAGCTGGATCAGAAATGGAGCAGCCAGGACTCAAACCAGTGCCCATATGGGATGCCGGCACTACAGGCAGTGGCTTTACCTGCTACACCACAGCACCAGCCCCTAATATTTTCTTAAATGCTTGTCTCTGTGACAAACTCCCCCTCTCCAGGCCCTAAATCCTCTCCATTATTCTAATCATTTTCTTTGGAACATTTTCTTTGTATAATTTCCTTTTGAAATTTTATAGATTTTATAGAGCAGAATTTTATAGATTCTTTCCAGCTCAGGTCATTAGAGCCCAAGACCGGATTTTTTTTTTATAAAGATTTATTTATTCATTTGAAAGTCAGAGTTACACAGAGAGAAGGAGAGGCAGAGAGAGAGAGAAAGAGGTCTTCCATCCACTGGTTCACTCCCCAATTGGCCGCAACGGCCAGAGCTGCACCTATCCGAAGCCAGGAGCCAGTAGCTTCTTCTGGGTCTCCCACTTGGGTGCGGGGGCCCAAGGACTTGGGCCATCTTCCACTGCTTTCCCATGCCATAGCAGAGAGCTGGATCGGAAGTGGAGCAGCCGGGTCTCAAACCAGCTCTCGTATGGGATGCTGGCAGTACATGTGGCGGCTTAACCTGCTACACCACAGTGTCAGCCTCCAAGACCAGACCTTTTTAAAATGTGTAACTTCAGTTAGGCAGTTATCATTAATTTTATCAGGTCGTTAATTCAACCAATAATTTTTTTTTTTTACTTTTTTATTAACAGCAATTGTACATATGTATTGACTGCAGTGTGACATTTCAATACATGTAAATAAAATATGTACTTTGGGGGCCAGTACTGTTTTGCAGAGGGTCAAAGCCCTGGCCTGCAGTGCTGTCATCCCATGTAGGCGCCAATTCAATTCCTGGCTACTCCTCTTCCAATCCAGCTCTCTGCTATGGCCTAGGAAAGCAGTACAAGATGGCCCAAGTCCTTGGACCCCTGCACCCATGTGGGAAACCCAGAAGAAGCTCATGGCTCCTGGCTTTGGATTGGCTCAGCTCCAGCTAGGCTACAACACTGTCCCCAACCAGTAATTCTTGGTCATTTATTCTGCTATGTATTGGGAAAAGAGCAATGAACTTGACAAACATGACATGTACAGTCTGGTGGAAAAGATAAACAGCAAGCAAATACATACATAATTCATGTCCATTAAAGACTTCAAAGCAGAATGAAGGGCCAAAAATGGCAAGAAGCCTTTTTTTGTTAGATAAATTTTGAGAGAAGGTCCTTTAAGAAATTGACATTTGAACAAAAAAACTGAACCAGGAACATCAATGTTTAAATCTTATTATTTGACCAAATAGTTCTCTGTCAATTCATCCCAAGAGAATAATCAGGATTCATTATGAACAGCACTGTTTATGGTAATTAAGAACTTAAGAGCCTAAAATGAAGGGCTGGCCAAATAAATTACAGTGTAAATGATTTTGTTGAAAGATTTTCATCCGCAGCCAGCATTATGTTGTAGTGGGTAAAGCTGCTGCCTGCAGTGCCAGCATCTCATATAGGTACCAGTTCTACTTTTTTTTTTTTTTTTTTTTTTTTTGACAGGCAGAGTGGATAGTGAGAGAGAGACAGAGAGAAAAGTCTTCCTTTTGCCGTTGGTTCACCCTCCAATGGCCGCCGCGGCCGGCGCGCTGCGGCCGGCGCACCGCGCTGATCCAATGGCAGGAGCCAGGAGCTAGGTGCTTTTCCTGGTCTCCCATGGGGTGCAGGGCCCAAGCACCTGGGCCATCCTCCACTGCACTCCCTGGCCACAGCAGAGGGCTGGCCTGGAAGAGGGGCAACCGGGACAGAATCCGGCGCCCCGACCGGGACTAGAACCCGGTGTGCCAGCGCCGCTAGGCGGAGGATTAGCCTAGTGAGCCGCGGCGCTGGCCCCAGTTCTACTTCTAATCCAGCTTCCTGTTAGGGGTCTGGGAAAAGCAGCAGAGGATGACTCAAATATCTGGGCTACTACCACCCATGTGGGAGCCCCAGATGAAGCTCCTGGTTTGGCTTGGCCCGGGCCTGGTTGTTGCAGCCGTACGGGAAAGAAACCAACAGACAGAGAGAGGATCTCTCTCCACCTCTCCTTCTCTTTGCATAACTGATTATCAAGTAAATAAATAAATCTTAGAAATCCTTTTATAAAAAGGTTTTCATTAACAGGAAGATAAAGAACAGTGTGTGTGTGTGTATGATAATTCCTCCCTGTTTAATGTTTTTTATTAATTTTTTAGATGTATTTATTTATTTGAAAGGCAGAGTTACAGAAAGGCAGAGGCAGACAGAGAGGTCTTCCATCCTCTGGTTCACTCTGCAGATGGCTACAATGGAAGGAACTGGGCTGATCCAAAGCCAGGAGCCAGGAGCTTCTTGCTGGTCTCCCATGTGGGAGTAGGGGCCCAAGGAGTTGGGCCATTTTCTACTGCTTTCCCAGGCCATAGCAGAGAGCTGGATCAGAAGTGGAGCAGCCAGGACTCGAACCAGCACCCATATGGGATGCCAGCACTGCCGGTTGCGGCTTTACCCACTATGCCACTGTGCCAGCCCCCTTAATGTATTTATTTATGTATGAAGGCATAGGCAATAATCTAGAAGAATAAAAATTTTACAGTAACAGTTTTCTCTGTGGGAAAGGTGAGATAAATGTTACTTTAATTTTTCTCTCTGGAATCTGTATCTTGACATTTTCTACATCAAACATGGATTGCTTGTATAGTTAACTCAAGTGCAACAGCTCTGACAGCTGGGCTGTGTAGTTGATACAGTGTGAGCTATTTTATTCCTAATTCCTGTGGACTAAGAAAATGATGAATAAATACACTTTTGTAGCCCAACTGCAGAGGTTACACATGGACATTGAGAATCTCCGGGAGGAGAAGGACAATGAAATCACAAGCACTAGAGATGAATTGCTTAGTGCCCGAGATGAAATTTTGCTCCTTCATCAAGCAGCAGAAAAGGCTGCCTCTGAGCGGGACACTGACATTGCTTCTTTGCAAGAAGAGCTTAAGAAGGTGAGAGCTGAGCTTGAGCGGTGGCGGAAAGCAGCATCTGAATATGAGAAAGAAGTCACAAGTCTGCAGAGCAGTTTCCAGCTTCGGTGTCAGCAGTGTGAGGACCAGCAGAAAGAGGAAGCCACAAGGCTGCAAGGTGAATGAACGCATTTTATGTAAGGGTCCTAACTCTGGACAATGGGATCTTTATCACTTACACAAAATAACCATTCAGCCTTTTTCTGTCTTTGGTAGCAGTCAATTGCATGAAAGCAGTGTGTCTATGCTAGGGCTATAATCATGTTCTTAAGGTCTGCAAGTTCTGTAATATGTTAAAAAATTTTTATAATTTCATATTTTACTTAAATACTATTAAAATTATTTGCCTTATAAAAGTAAGGTGGAAAAGAATACTATTCCAGTTCAAGGTAATGGAACTTCCTTGGATATAGCTGCAAAGTAACATATATACATGTATTTAAGGGGGGAAAATATATTCTCTGAACTACTTCCTGTCATCCTTTGAATTATTATGGAAGCTATGCTCCTCTATTAACAAATATGTTTTGGAACTATTTTAGGTGAATTAGAGAAGTTGAGAAAGGAATGGAATGTATTGGAAACCGAGTGCCATTCTCTAAAAAAGGAAAATGTCTTGTTATCATCAGAACTGCAACGACAGGAAAAAGAATTGCACAAGTATGCAAGAACTCTGTTTTTTAACTTCAAAATCTTTCTTTATCTTAAATTTTCATCTAAATTTAATGGAATTTTGATATTTAAATACCTTTTTGATGGATTCATGGAATCCAAATTTATTAAATGCTTCTTACTGCTACTTCAAAAAAACCTAAACAAATAGCAAAGATCTGTACTTAGTAGTTGAACTTGCCCTATAAACTCAATGATAATATATTTTAAATACAAAATGTTTTTCTTTCACACCAGTGACCCCTTCTGTTAGTAAGGGTGGTTAGGTAACCATAATAAAGAATATATACTACCGAGAAATAGATTGAAGAATTCTCTAAAAATCACTTGAATCGTTCTAGTATCCAGTCCCTTACAGGCAAACCAATGAATCCAGTATATCTATTTGCACAAATATAATGGAGTCCAGTCTTCTCAGCAACCTTTGTCATATTTCAATTTATTTAAAATTGGTTTCCCCTTAAAAGTTTGGTCTATCCCATTAAAAGTTTTCTTCATTTATTTATTTTCATTCTACTCGAAAGGGATAGAACTAGAAAGAAGGACACAGAGAGAGATCCTCCATCCCCTGATTCATTCCCCAAATGCCAGCAACAGCTGGGGCAGGACCAGGCTTTATCCAGGAGCTTGGAACCCAGTCTAGATCACCATCAAGACTGACAGGAACACAACTACTTGAGCCATTACCTGTTGTCTTCCAGGATGCACATTAGTAGGAAGCTGGATCAAATGTGGAGGTGGGAGGCCAGCACCGTGGTGCAGCAGGTTAAGCCACCATCTGTGGTGCCTACATTCCATGTTGGTGCAAGTTTGAGTCCAGACTGCTCTGCTTCTGACCCAGCTCCCTGCTAATGTGCCTAGGAAAGCAGTGGAAGATGGCCCAAATCCTTGACCCTGCAACCATATGGGAGACCAGAAGAAGCTCCTGGCTCTTGATTTGGTTTGGCCCAGCCCTGGCCATTGCGGCAATTTGGGGAGTGAACCGGAAGATGGAAGATCTCTCTGTCTCTCTTCTCTTTCTCCTTAACTCTTTCAAATAAATAAATAAATCTTAAAAAAAATTAACTTTGCTCTTGCAAACAATAAATGCAACCAAGTATTTATTTATTTATTTTAAGATTTATTTGTTTATTTGAAAGTCAGAGTTACACAGAGAAAGAGAGGCAGAGAGAAAGAGAGAGGTCTTCCATCCGCTGGTTCACTCCCCAGTTGGCTGCAACAGCTAGAGCTGCCCCAATCCAAAGCCAGGAGCCAGGAGCTTCCTCCGGGTCACCCACATGGGTGCAGGGTCCCAAGGACTTGGGCCATCTTCTACTGCTTTCCCAGGCCATAGCAGAGAGTTGAATCGGAATTGGAGCAGCCGGAACTTGAATTGGTGCCCATATGGTCTGCCCGCACCACAGGCAGTGGCTTTACCCTCTTTGTCACTGCGCCAGCCTCCCAAGTATTTATTAAAGAAACAAAAAGAAAATGTGTGTGGGACTCAAATCAGGTACTCTAGTATGCAATACAGTTATCCCAAACAGTATCTTAATTGCCTAATCAAATGTTCACCCATATTTATATTTTTTTAAATGCTTATTCCCACCTGTTCGAAGGCTGAATGAAGTAGACGGAGACACCTTCCATCTGCTTTTTTTTTTTTTTTTTTCAATTTTTTTTTAAAGCTTTATTTACTTATTTGCAAGGCAGAGTTACAGAGAGGCAGAGGCAGAGAGAGAGAGGTCCTCCATCCACTGGTTAACTCCCCAAATGGCCAAAACTGGTGGAGCTGGGCTGATCCAAAGCATGGAGCCAGGAGCTTCTTCCAGGTCTCCCACTCGGGAGCAGGGGCCCAAGGACTTAGGCCATCTCCTACTGTTTTTCTCAGCCCATAGCAGAGAGCTGGATTGGAAGTGGAGCAGCCAGGACTGCAACTGGCACCCAAATGGGATGCCGACACTGCAGGCGGAGGCCTTACCTGCTATGCCCTCTATCTGCTTTCACTCCCTAAATTCACACAATTCCTGGGGTTGGGGCACATCAAAGCCAGGATCCCAGTACTCCATCCAGGTCTCCCACAGGAGAGTGGCAGAGGTCCAAGCACTTGAGCCATCATTTGCTGCCACCCAGAATGCATTAGCTAAAGCTAGATCAGAAGTGGAACTGCTGGGATTCAAACTCACACACCTATATGGGATGAGGGCATCCCAATAGCAGTTTGTGTATAGCACCACTGTGCTGCAACACCTACTCTGTTTTTATTAGTTTTTTAAACAGTGTTTGTGCACTAAATCAGAGTATGACAGTAGTGTATGTTTCTTAATAAAGCTACTCTTAATGAATCCCAGCCCCTTCCCACCAGTATGCCAAAAATGGGGATCTTTACTGTCTTGTTAACCTTATGTTTTGCACTCCTAGAGAGCATTAAGTTTAGCAAAAGTTTATAAATTTGTATTTATTTATATAAGAAGACATCAAAAAGTTCATGGAAAGTGTGATTAAAAGATAGGTTTGTTTTGGTGCAAAATACTTTTAAATCCACATATAGGTTTTTCCTAACACATTCTATGTGAACTTGCGAAGGCTCCTTGTATGTGGAAATGAACAGATCCTCCGTGTTTACAGTATATTGGAACAAATTGTTTGGTATAAAGTATATGTAAGGGTAGCGGAGTGTGGCGTAGTGGGTAAAGCTGCTGCCTGCACTACCAGCATCCCATACGAGAGCTGGTTTGAGACCCGGCTGCTCCACTTCCGATCCAGCTCTCTGCTATGGCCTGGGAAAGCCAGTAGAAGATGGCCCAAGTCCTTGGGCCCCTGTATCCACGTGGGAGACTGGGAAGAAGCTTCTGGCTCCTGGCTTCAGATCAGCACAGCTCTAGCCGTTGCGGCCAATTGGGTAGTGAACCAGCGGATAGAAGACCTCTCTCTCTCTCTCTGCCTCTTCTATCTCTGTAACTCTGACTTTCAAATGAATAAATAAATCTTTCAAATAAATAAATCTTTAAAAAAATAAAGTATAGGCTGGCGCCGCGGCTCACTAGGCTAATCCTCCGCCTAGCGGCGCCGGCACACCGGGTTCTAGTCCCGGTCGGGGCGCCGGATTCTGTCCCGGTTGCCCCTCTTCCAGGCCAGCTCTCTGCTGTGGCCAGGGAGTGCAGTGGAGGATGGCCCAGGTGCTTGGGCCCTGCACCCCATGGGAGACCAGGAAAAGCACCTAGGATGTCGGTGAATCCATTTCGTATGACATTCTGTCAAACAAGAAATACTAATGTTTGATTGCCAGTGCTGATTATCTTAATTATTCTTGTTTTGGAATTACTGATTTTTAAACATTCAGACTTGATCCCTCATTTTTGAGATGTGATTAATCTGAATCTGGCAGACTGTTAAGATATTTTTTAAATTGCTTCACATTTTGTTTGAGCATTGAAAAGCAAACCTAAGAACTTGTGAGTAGAAGCATGTGGTTTAAAAATACTGTGCCCTAGAAAAGTGGAACATGTTGGATTATTAGGTCATCTGTGTAACCTCACATAAGGTAGTTGAGACAGATTGATTCTGTGTCTTAAATTTTTCTGGCATAATAGTTCTCCGGATTCATTAGATAGCCTCCCCAGCATTTAATGGTATTTAGAAGCTAGTCTTCCTTTGGAGTGTTAGGTGCCATTTAGCACCTGTATTAGCCTATCTGTGTCAAACTCACTCCTAAGAATCTGCCTAGCAAATAAATGGGATGGGATTTGTACTCTGCAGTTGTTCAGTTAATGGGTCTGATTCCTAGCCATTCTGAGAGGTATAAAACAGTCACCTTGAAAACCTTGTTCTCTGTGAGCTATTTATAGGGAAGCAAATTCTCTATTGCACCATACTGTATGGCTTTTCATTCTCTATTGTCTATGATGTATAAGAAGTTGAACAGTGAGTTCCTGTTCCTGTGTATCGAACTCTTTCTGATGTGTAAATCATGGAGGAGTTTTTTTGACGTCAAATTGTAGAAATAATCAGAGTTTAACCTGTAGCACAGCCTCAGCAGTTACTGCATCCAACCCTCTTATTTTACAGTGGAGATCACTGAGACCCTCTGTGTTATTTGTGTCTGAATAACATGGCATAGATATAAGAGCTCAAGAAGTGTTTCTTCTCAGAAGAAAACATGCCACAGCTAAATAGTGTCAGGGCCAGGGTCTAGAGCCCAGGCACCGAGTGCTTCGTCCAAGTCCTACCTAGTGCTTCCCCCAATCTGCTCTAATTTAGCATTTGTGCAGGTTTATCTTTGTTTGACTTGGCAGTAGCTCCTAAGCTTTGAGTTTCTGGCTCCATCCTATTTGTAAGTCACTTAAACTTAGAAGAAAAAAAGTTGAAAAATGTTATGTTCTTTTCCTATAGAAGGTCTACTTTGAGTTTATGACACAATTAATATAATTTGACATAGCAAAATATACAGTTATGTGCATCCTACTTCTATTGTATGTTTTTCAGTCTGTATATTTAGTAGGTACAGCTTTAAACTTAAAACTTTATTCAGTGCTTTAATGCTTTTTACATGTTCAAAATATCTCATTCTTTCTTCTACTTTTCTTTCATTCACTGGAATCCATTCTGTCCTCCTAGTAAGATGTGTAAGGAATTGGACTTCCTTCTGTGTCCAGTTTCTATCTGTGATTAATTATCTTGATATTTTTGTTGCAGTTCTCAGAAGCAGAGTTTAGAGCTTACCAGTGATCTCAGCATCCTTCAGATGACTAGGAAAGAGCTTGAGAACCAAATGGGATCCTTGAAAGAACAGCATCTTCGTGATTCAGCTGATTTAAAAATTCTTCTCAGTAAGGCTGAAAACCAAGCAAAGGATGTACAAAAAGAGGTAAAGCGAAAAGACATTGTGAGTCCAATTATGGTTGGACCTAAAGCCAAAAGCAAATCAGATATCCATGCTAGTTAGAAATATAGGGAAGCAGAAGTCACATTACCTGTCATAAAGTTGATATTTGGAGCATTCTGTCTGGTGATTTCTAACTGTGTAACATGGTCCATATTATGCAGTATTCATCAGTGGTGTTTGGTTTCAAAAATACAAATATGCAAAATTATACTTTTTCTCCAGCAGTTAGTTGACCTATATGAGAAGTCCTTTGTACCAGATCCCTTGATCTATTATCTTTGAAAGAGAATGTGTTATTTAACTTAGAATACTTTTGGGAAGCAAAATAGAGCCATGCTGTAAGGCTGTATGAACCCTTCAGGTGAAAATGACCTGAAAAGTTACTTAAAATTTACTTCACAGCCAGCCAGCCAAACACATGTTCTGTAGCCTTTTACTTTTCTTCCCCCATACCCTTTCTCCTTCACAAATATGCATGTTCACTTTCATGTCATTTTGCTTAAAACCTGGAGGTGGCAGCTATTTAAATAATGATGTTAAAAATGGTAAGAGTCGACTTTAAAGCAGAGACCCTCCCGACTTCTCCTAACCAAGACAGGTACCATTTACTTCCCTAAGCTTTGGAATTGACTGCAAGGCAGTAAGAGCTGTGTTCAGTAAATGCTGGCCTCATACCACTCTCCGCATCTACATCTGACTGGCATGGGGATGGAAGAGGCTGCTAAAGCTTGATCTACAGATCAAGGGCCACTCTAGTAGCTGACTCTCTTAAATAAAGGGCTCTTTATCAGTTGGAAAGGATCTGAAGACAACACTTTTTTTTAAAAAATGAATTTTCCCAAAATTATTTCTAGAAGATTTGTTTTATCAATGCAGTTTTTCTTTGCCCTCTCCTTTCCTTGTAGTATCCTGAACTTGGAAATGATTGTTGTTCTTCTGTCATCATGTTTGTTCCTAAAGAAAAAAACTGTAACATTTTTTATTTTCATCTGGACATATTGGTTTTGTAATATGTTCATTTTTGCCTTGCTAAGGATATGTGTTTTAGGAGAAATCTCATTTTATTTGGTTGGAACACAAATTGTGTGCCAAAGTAAATATTCTGGTATTTAATACTGTAAGCACTTTGTGTCCTTCCAGTCCATAAGCCATAATTCTTTCAAAATCTGGGAAGACTGATATGGTTGGAAGGAGAATCTGTTGTATGTTACTGTGAATGCATTAGCCATTTTGTTGCATTATTTGTTTGCCTGCTTTTAGTCACTGAGCAATCAGTGCAAAATGCTTTAACTGTTTCCACAAATGGCAGTGGCATGTTGTCACAGCATCTAAATTGTTGATAGTATTTCGATTGCATTAAATGCAGCACATTTAAAAATATGTCTGATTTTGTCAATATGTTTCTTTTCAATGTTCTTGTTCACTGTTTTCCATTGTAAAATGATGTATAGTTAGTCATGCTTTTGTAAAGATGTGAAATTGCTCTTTCCGTTTGTCCTGTTGTCAACATATTTGATACTAGTCTGTAACTAAAATATCTTTTAATGAGGTTCTTATCACTGTATAATCTGCTGCAAATGAGTGATTACCTTTCATTAACACACACTTATTCTTTTCAACGTTTCCCCTTTTACTCCCTTCTCTCATAGAATCATATTTAATATGCAGTGTCATGATTGTGTATCTTCTGCACTTTAACAGGCTAACCTATCACAAGATAAGCAAGCTCAAATATGGTTATTTTTATAAAAATGAACCAAAGATTTTGATCATATTGTGTGATAGTTCCTTCTTAATCAGGGCTGAGCTTGTTTTTCACCTCAGGAAGCAAAATGGAACGAAAATGACATCCAAGCAAGATGTGAAATTAAAGCTGCATAATTAAATAATTAAATTTTATATATGTGTTGCAGCTTTCAGATAAGCTCTTAAAGAAAAAGTACATGAGAAAAGTAAATTTTAATTTTCAATATTAAGAGAAAATAATGATGTATCACCTTTATATTTGACTTTAGAAAGCATCTATAGGTTTTTTTTTTTTTTTTTTAATTTATTTATTTCAGATGTAGAGTTACAGACAGAGAGAGAAAGATCTTCCATCCACTGGTTCACTCCCTAAATGGCCACGACAGCTGGAGCTGAGCCGATCTGAAGCCAGGAGCCAGGAGCTTTCTCTGGGTCTCCCACATGAGTGCAGGGGCCCAAGCAATTGGGCCATCTTCCGCTGCTTTCCCAGGCCATCAGAGGGGAGCTGAATCAGAAGAGAAGCAGCTGGGACACAAACCAGCACCCACATGGGATGCTGGCGCTGTGGGTGGAGACTTAGCTTACCATGTCACAGTGCTAGCCCCCTATATATTTTAATTTAGTAGGAATACCCAAAATTTAAGAATTCATAAAATGTTGAGCACATAAGCTCACCCTGCAAAAACTGATTGAAAAAAGTTGTTTGGCTTCACCATCTTCCTGTGGGGCCAGAGTCTTTTCCATCCACCCACTTGCTGGAAGTAAGCAGCAGGATCTTCCTGTCTGAGCTGTCTTCCTCTGGTTCAGCTTCAGAAGTCCTGGAATGGAGAAATGATTAAATGCTTTAATGTAAAGGGCAGGCTGGATGTAAGAATGGTGGAAAAGGAAAGCAAGGGAAAATTTTGATCAACAAAGAACTTTTTACATCTTCTTTTTAGTTATTGTTAAGAGTCAAATTATATCATGGATCGTTGAGAATTGATTATAGTTTAAGGTGTAGAAACTAGGCTAAGTACAGTGACTTTGCCATGGCAGCTGGCTAGTAACCTTCTGCTTCCTGGAAGGAAATCCACAGACCTTCAAATCAACTGGAAAAAAACTGTCATAAAGCCCATGAGTCTTATTCTTTAGTTCATTCTTCAGTATTCTACCTAGGTTTGTTTTGGAAACATTGTTAGGTAGCAGTTTCTGTCATTTTTTATCTCTTCTCTACTCATACATTTCTTCTCCCCTTATAGTAACCTATGTGTTAACCCTAACCACCTCCTCTTGCCTCCTTCTTTCCTGTCTAATGTTTTTATACATTTTCATCCTTCTCAATATTAATCTTATTTTCATAAAGATTTATTTTATTTATTTGAAAGACAAAGTTAAAGAGCGAGGTAGAGACAGAGAGAGAGGTCTTCCATCCACTGGTTCACTCCCCAGATAGCCATAACGATCCGAAGCCAGGAGCCAGGAGCTTCTTCTGGGTCTCCCATGTGGATGCAGGGGCCCAAGGACTTGGGCCGTCTTCTGCTTTCCCAGGCTGTAGCAGAGAGCTGGATGGAAGTGGAGCAGCTGGGTCTCGAACTGGCACCCATATGGGATGCCAGCACTTCAGGCCAGGGCTTTAACCTGCTGTGCCACAGCACTGGTCCCCCTCAATATTAATCTTTTAAATTTTTTCTTTATTTGAGAGACATTGAGAGAGTTCCCATCCACTGCTTCATTCCCCCAAATCCAGCAAGAGCTGGGGCTGGTCCAGGCCAAGGCCAAGATCCAGGAGCTTAATCCAGGTCTCCCATATGAGTGGCAGGGAGGTTTATCTCCTGCCTCCCACTAGAAGTAAGCTGGAATTCAGAGCAAATCTGGGTCTCATACTCAGGGCCTCCAATATGAAATGAAGGCTTCCCAAACTATCTTAACCACTAGGCCAAATGCCCACCTGCATATTCATCTTTATTGAGCATAATGGTGAACTCCTTATTAGTCAATTCAAGATACTTATATTATTCAGAAGCACTATTATAAATATTCCTTTATTGAAGAATTTCTAGGATGTACGTAGATTAGGATTTAGAAACTTATATATAATATAATAGCCTTGTAGGCTATATTGAAGGAAGAAGTGGAACCTTTCTGATATGACACATCCATGGTATATTTATTTTCTATTCAGTACTTTATGCCTTGCTTCTAAAAGCTTCATATTTGATAGGGTGGGGCAGCAGAGTCAGGGACAGAGGCACATCTATCAGCAGAACAGGTTCTGCTCTTTGACTGGAAGTCCAGCTTGCAAGGAAGATGTCTGAAAGTGGAACCTGTCTAGAATTCCAGCCTTCTGGGGCCATTTAAAGTAGGGGTGGGTCACACCACATTTCACATTGGTCTTGCCTATGCTCAAGGGAGAGCTAGTTTATCTGAAGGTCAAATTATATACAGTGAACCATTTTCCAGGGCAGGAAGTAGCAAATTTCACTATAGTAAAACTTTTCACAGATTTCTAAAAATATTTTTAGATTTATTTATTTTATTTATTCGAGAGAGAAAGAAAAATATTTCCCATCCTCTAGTTCATTCCCCAAATTCCCACAGTGGCTGGAACTCAATCTAGGTCTCTCACAGGGGTGGCAGGAACCCAACTACTTGTGTGATGACTTGGTACTCCCATGGTGTGCATTAGTAGAAGCTGTAATCAGGAGAGGAGCCAGGACTTGAACCCAGGTACTCAATATGGTACGTGGGTGTCCCAGATGGTATCTTAACTGCTATGCCAAATGCTCACCCCTAAAATTATTTTAATTGATGCTTTTAAGTAGAGAGATCAAAATTTTCCAATCATAGTGGTAAGTATTTTTGATACATTTCTTTGCTTCATTTGGCTAGAAAACTCAATCAGAACACATTAGTGCCCAGTGATGCTGGAATGCTGGATAAAGAAAAGCCTGTTGGGAGTTAATGTCTTTTTACTTTGAGACTAAAATAGCTTGGCTGACTTTGTCCAGGATGTAAACCCAAGCTTCCTAATACTGCCATTTAATTAGGCTATGGAATTTTTCTTTACTTGCTTTTCTTTTGCTCAGTTTAACATTTTGCTTTTCTCCTATAACTTACTTAGTGGAAAATGTGACCTTTTATATTAGAAACAGATGACAAAATGGTGACTCCTGTTAATTCTTTTTTAACTTCAGGGCCAGAAACTTCTTAAATAGATTCACGTCAACATTAAAACATGAGCACGCAAGATTCTTAGCTTGCTTAAAACAAAAAGCCTTAACTTTGATGTTGCAGTTGACTAAATAGGGTCTGGTATATAAGCCTGAATAAAACCATAACTTCATACCCATTTTAAGTTGAGTCTGCACACTCTTTTTTCTTTGCCTTTAGTATGAAAAGACACAGACTGTACTCTCAGAACTGAAGTTGAAGTTTGAAATGACTGAGCAGGAAAAGCAATCAATCACAGATGAGCTCAAACAATGTAAAGACAACCTGAAGCTGCTCCAAGAGAAAGGAAATAATAATGTAAGTCTTTGCAAACTTGGCTTAGCTTTGACTGAAAGGCAGGTGAGAAACTGGAAATTGATTTTCAGTGGACTTTATTACTGATTTGGGAAGCTAATGGCCTGGGGTACAAATGAAATAAGCTTTTCATTATGAAATTCCACAACGGAACCATTGTATTGTCAATATTTTTTAGTAGGAATTTGCCCTTTTAACCTGTACCCCTAGAAGAGCCTGAGTACTGCCTGGACGAAGAGCCCTGTTTGCAATCAAACAGCTTACCTAAGAACTGTCAGCTTTTCCCACTTAAGTCTGAAGTTCTGTCACTAAGCCATCATCTGGCTCTTGTTCCTCCTCTGCTGGAAAATGAAGCACTGTACCACCAGGGATCCATTTAAGGAAAAGTATTACATGTTGACCCTTAGCATTTGGTTGTGTCAAAAACAATGGAGCCTTATTTATGGTTTTCATTTTATACCAATAATGTTCTCACTGAGGCACATCCTAAAAAGCTTAGTGTTTTCTTTGGCATCCTGTAAATAAGAGGAAATACTTGGTGAGTTTCTTTAGGGCTTCTTGAGAAAGAGAGAGAGATGGAGAGAGAAATGGAAAGGAAGAAAGAAAGGAATGGAGGAAGGAAGGAAAAAAGTTTAGGACGTTCTGGTACTGGTATAAATTGAGTTTAATAGCATTTATTTCCACTTGTTAGAAAGGCAGTGGTCTGTAAAAAGATGTTATACTAAATAAATGTTGTGTTGTATGTTTTGGTGATCATTGCCTTTGTGGGCCCTAACTGGTGAATGTTCTGTGTGGTTGGTTGTGCTCTGACTTATTTCAAATCCTTGTCACGGCTTGAACACTGCAGTGGGTTTGAGCCACATGCTTCCTACGGAGGAAGGCACTCTGCCTAACTTGCAGCACGTGTATAAGATTGATGTTGCATGGCCATCCAGTTACGCAGTTGCACACAGAATGCTCAGGAATTGTGTCCAACTGTCCTTGGCTTAAGAAAGTCTTAGTTTGTAAACAATAAAGCTTTGCTGCTTAGGTAGAAACCTTTTAAACAATGGTGAATTATTATATATGGAAGCTTTATGCTAAGTGAAAATAGATTGCATTTTTTAAGAATAAATCTACATTTTAACAGATAGATTATTGAACTCTTCTAAAAACCAGATCTTAATAGTTTGATTACTTCTTCTTTTGTATTAATTCATATCCCTCTGATTATGGAATTTCAGTCTACTTCCTGTTAAGTAAACCTATGAAAACGTGGCATAATAAAAATCCTCTGTACTATTTAGAACCTTTTTAAAAGTAGGAGTACTATTATTATTTGTAGTTATAAAAAAAGAGTCTACCGTAGTGTGAATTTCCTTTGTGATATTGAACTTAAAGTACTAAAATAGTACTCTGTAATAACATTCATGGAACAATTCCCTCTCAGTCATAAAAATTAATTATATTCTGGTAACATAACTGAAAGTCCTGAGACTCAGACGCCTTTTTTTTATATACCAAGGGGTTATCAGGCATTGTGTTACATCTCTTTCCAGATTTAGGAAGTATGCATTATCAAGGGCATTTATTTTTAAGCTTGAAAGCAATACCATCTCATAAACAAACGAGTTCTGGTTGGGGGTGGGGGGAAAGGTTTTCATGGAGAGATAAAATAAACCTTAATCATTGCCAAGGGAGCACATTATCAAATAATGGATTCCAGATTTGAAACAAAAATAATAATATACTGTCAAGCAGAGCATCAGTTGGTGAAGTGTTGTCGTTGCTCTGTCTTAATGTGCTGCATTTCATTAGAGTGCTAAGGACACCCACGTTGCCCATTGCCTCCAGCTGTTCCTTTTCAGCTGGTAATTTGCCAACATGCATACCACAGTCCATCATTCTGGATTGTGTTAAATGTCTTTAAAATGTTTGAATCAGTGTGAAACCTGAGTGGTATACTTCTATTACCTCAGTCTTCCTTCCCTGCCTTCAACCCCACTGGGGTCTAAATCATCTTATCTGATTTTTTTCATAGCATAAAATGATTTTAATATCCCTTGCCTTCTTTAGCCTTCCATATTACAACCCGTCCCAGCCGTATTCATCGGCCTATTCCTGGCTTTCCTGTTTTGGTGTTTCGGTCCATTGTGGTAGAGAAAGGTACAAGCACTACTGTTGAGTCCTTGTCTGTTTGTCCCTGTCACCTGTTTGTGCCATATTTGTAATATAGTGCATGGCAAAACCACACAGGTATTTTGTTACCTGAAGCAAACCCTTCATTTAGTATGCCATGTATTTGTGTCATACCAGTGAGCTGAACAATCAACTAATCACATAACATTTTGTCTTGTTTCCTTTGTAGTAATTCTAACCATGAATTAATCCTAACCTAACCAGTGGTTAATATGCTTCCTTTAACTGAGTCTTTATCTTTAGCAAACTGAACTAAATGATACATTTCTGCAATATTAGTAACCCCTTCCCCATTATGTGCTTAATTAGAGTTGAATGAGAAATGAAGAGTTTGCCTCTTTGAAGTTTTCAGCCTGTCTTCTTCCCCCTCCTCCATACCCATCTACCCTTCCATAGTAAAGAATTTCTTTCTTTCGACCTTTTACCTATTTACACTATGTGTGTGAAGATTAAAAAAGAAATTAGCATAATGAACTATTGACTTACAATCTCAGCCCCAATATATGCTTAATTGTCAGAAATAAGCCTGTCCCATTTCTTTCTGAGCTCTTATCTGCAACATCAGAATATTTCTTTAAAACCTAACTTTTTCAGTGAGACTCTTGGAGTACTAGTAAAAATAAAGCTGACAACCAAAGTATGATGAAATTATAAACACTCTGAAAGGGAATAGCACATCCATGCTTGGCCATAACCAGCATGCATATTAGAGTGTATGGGATGATCATATGGCTTTATTATACCAGACAAGATCTTTACCAGAAGTATCATATAGATGGGGTCCCTAATGACACTTCTCTATCTTAAACCCCATCAAATTTTGTCTTCTGTGCGATGATTTCACATCAGAGCATCAAAGCCCAGGCCACTTTCTTTCTGTCACTTTAGTTACCAGCCCCATTTATAAAACTGTCCCAACATGTGAGTCTGGTTTTCATAAAGAAATAAACATTTTAGGCAGAAAAATACTACAGGTGTCCATGTCCATCAGTTATGTTGGAATATATGGATTCTGAAGTAAATAAAGCAGGTGAAGCCCCAAGGATTTCTTGCAAGTTGCTAGTAGGTTTCCATTATAAAATAGAGCTGAAAACTGCCTGGGACTTTCCTGGGGTGGATTAGGCTTCCAAACAATGGTGCTGCTATTACAGCTCTCCTTATACCTGCACTCTCTTTTGTTTTGTTTTGTTTTGTTTTCAAACTTAGTTTTTCACAATACAGAAATAAAAGATTTGTCCAGTATTCTGTTAAGTATTCAGGACTCTCTGGAACCAAGGGGTTAATAGGTATGACAGAAGAGGGGAGAATGTGATATTGACTCTTGGTTTCTTTCCACACAGAAACCCTGGCCCTGGATGCCCATGTTGGCTGCCCTGGTTGCGGTGACAGCCATCGTGCTGTATGTGCCAGGTCTGGCCAGAGCTTCTCCGTGAGAGTGTTTCTTGAGTCCGTACACCGTCCTCCCTCTAGAAGCTGGCATCACACTCATGCTGGGGAAAAACAGAACCATTTTCTTCCTTTTTTACCTCTTAAAACAACAGAAGTGCAAGAATACAACTGTAGGGTCATTGCTTTAAATTATATAAAATGTATCTGTCTGTAAAGAGGATATAAAATTGTGACTTTATTCTACTGTAAGCAATAATTTGCTTGCAATTTTTCATGTAATTTTTAAATTAGTTTGTTGAGATTCTGAATATTATGGTGGCCTAAAGTAGGCTTCTTGGTACACCAAATTATTTATAACATTAAATTTATGGGTATTTTACTCTGAATTCTGATGACCAGATAATTCATTTTTCTGATTCGATTACTACCCAAACCAAACAACCAATACATACATGGGAAGAAAGGCCCTGTGTGCTCAGTGCCTATCAGTTTGAAATATACACACATATATATATATATTTTTTACATATTTACGCCATTTTTACTTATTATAAAACCACTGAGCTATTGGGAACAAGATTTAGAGACAACTATTTGTGTGGGTTTTTTTTTTTAAAGGAAAAATACATTTGAAAAATATTCTGTTAGAGTGATAATTTGGGAATATGTGCACGCTTGTTCAGCCTTAATGTGACTTGAAGATGTGGAGGACATCAGCTTTGAAAAACTTTCCATGAGAGTTGTGTATTTTCTTGAGCAAACTGAAGTATTTCTGGGAGCAAAAACAGTAATTACACAATTTCAGTGCAGTCAACCAAACTGTTGAGTCAATTGGAATGTAAGTTATTAAACCTCATGTATTTAAAGAGATATTTTCTTTAAAAGCCAAGTTACTTTCTCATATACAGCATTTTAGGAAGCATGATTTTTTTTTTCTGTCATCTGTTCCTCCAAGCATGTTTAATTGAAGAAAGAATTAATATCACTTTAGATAAGCTTTTATTGACTTAATTTGGTTATGATGTTTTGGAGCTAATTCATGTGCAAGGTGGCTGTTGTTATTACCAACAGATGTCCTGGTTGGGTATGCAAATGGTTATTTTCTTTTTATTGTTGTTAATTGGGACTTTCTGTTCATGAGAAGCACTATTCCCAGGATTAATAGTGTTCCATGCACAATGAAGCACCTAAACACTGCTTGATGTTATAAAATTTAAAACACAGATGTGAAAGTTTAGCTATGGTTTTGTGCGGCACCATAGTTATGTCAATAAAGTTTATTTAGGTCATAGAGTATCCTAAAGGAACACATAGTTAAATTTTTCAGTCAATGAAGAATGAAAAGGAATGTCAGTGAATTGGCTTGAATGTTCTTTGGCAATCCACAGGTCTAGCCAAATATTGAAATAGGAGTTTAGGATATAATTTGCCTTGTGATGTTTGGCAGTCATTGTTTGTACTTTAAAGGTTATATTTTAAGCTATTTGAGATTGCTGTTTGGGAGGATCACTAGATTTGTGGAGGAATTAGTCACAAATGACTTGTAGGAAATACTGTCATATAGTTCATTTCATCATTTTTTGTTGCAGGAAGCCACTCCACCACAGAATGCTAATATGCCAGTGGTACCCAGTACCTCTTGTATATAGGTTATTGCAAATATTGTTCTGAAATGCTTAACTTCAGAATTACATTTTTTAAAGTAAATAATTGTTTTAAATCTATTTTGTAAAGATATAAAGTACAATAGAATTTCTGGAGTACAGATTAAACTATTTGCACTAACACACGTGATGTGCATGATTTAATAAAATAACTTTACTCTCCCTATGTATGTTTGAGTTGGGTATCATTGAAATTCTTAGTGCTGCCTCTGCTATTAGATTATTAATAGTCTTTTCCTGAAATGATTCTTTATGCAACATAGCATACATTTATTTGGTGTTCAAGGTTTAAAAGAAAACACTGAGCCTTCGTTCAGGTTTTGTTAGGCTTTTATTTGACTCACTGCTCTAGAATTTATTTCCCTTTTAATATGGCTATTGTTAAAATGTGACACACTTGCCACACAAGTCTCATTAACTCTAAGGTATAATACCAATATTTACTTTATTCAAATTGAGTAAATGGGTTTTTGTAGTTCCAAATTTTCTCAAGAATCTAAGTGAGCCTATTAATGAGCAGTACCTCCAGTGTTGTTCACTTTGCTTCCAGTAGGATTATTCACAAGTAAGGATGGAGTCATTAAGAAGTTTTAAGCATTGCAGTTAGGAATTGAATGATCCCATAGTGATCCATTTAAGAAGTATTCACAGTTACTAAATGGTGGGGTCAGGAAATGAAGGATGTAATGTTTGAAGCTAAATAGATTTGTGTTGGCATCTTGATGCCACTTTTTATATGCCTTGTTAGGCAAATCACTTATTTTCTCAGTCCTCATTTCCTCATCTATGAAATGGGGTGAAATTGTGGTGGTAGAGTGGAAACTAAAAAATAATTTATGTAAAGTACCATTCAAGCAGTAAGAGAGTGTCACACTAAAAAAATTGCAGTTATTAAAGTTTTGGCTAAACCAGTACATCTATTTTAAATGAATTGATTGACTCAACCTTTAAGAATTTCTATGTGGGGGCCAGTGTTGTGGCTTAGCAGATAAAGTCACCACCTGCAGTGCTGGCATCCCATATGGGCGCCGTTTCAAGTCCTGGCTGCCCCACTTCTGATCCAGCTCTCTGCTATGGTCTGGGAAAGCAGTGGAAGATGGCTCAAATCCTTGGGTCCCTTCACCCATCTGGGAGGCCTGGAAGAAGCTCCAGGTTCCTGGCTTCGGATCAGCCCAGCTGTGGCTGTTATGCCCATTTGGGGAGTGAATCAGTGGATGGAAGACCTCTCTCTCTCTCCCTCTGTCTTTTTCTGCCTCTGTGACTCTTCCTTTCAAATAAATGAATAAATCTTTTTCTAAAAAAAAATTTCTATGTGTATAAATGAGATTAGACTGTAACATTTTGAATCCTAAAAAAGCATTGTCACTTTGTTCATCCCCTTTATAGTTGTCTCTTTAGGAAATAGTATACTAAATTTGGTATTGAACCAATTACCCAAAGTAGTTTTGGAATTCCTATTTTAATGGTCTTCAGAGCCACTTTGAATCACATGTGAAAACCAGACACATGCTGTACATTCAGAGGCTTTCAGCCAAAAATAGTATTGCCCAACCTGAGCTCTCACTTTAGTCACCAGACTTGACCCAAAGTGACTTGGCTGCTTCTAATGCTTTTGTATCTATCAAAAAGTTAGAAATCTAGGGCATGTGTTATAGCAAAGCAAGTTAAGCTATTGCTTGGAACACCCACATCCTTATTAGGGCACTGCTTCCAGTCCCAGTTAGTCCACCTCAGATCCAGCTCCCTGCTGATGTGCCTAGGAAGCAGCAGATGACTCAGCAGATGGGTGTTGAGTTCCTAACACCCACGTAAGTCACCTAAATATCCAGGAATGGGTCATTGGCTAAATAAATAAATGTTGCTAGGGGCCTGCACTGCGGTTTAGCAGCTAAAGCTGATGCCTGTGACACAGTCACCCCATGTGGGCACCAGTTCATATCCTGGATGCTCCACTTCAGCCCAGCTTCCTGCTAATGGCCTGGGAAAAGCAACGGAGGATGACACAAGAGTTTGGCCCACTACTCTCCAAGCGGGAGATCTAGAGGAAGCCCCTGGCTTCTGGCATCGGCCTGGCCATAGGGCCGTCTGTGGATGGCCACCTGGCCACCTGCAGATAGAGGACCTCTCTGACTCTACCTCTCTCTAACTCTGACCTTTAGATAAGTAAATAAATATGTATGTGTATATATATAGCCACCCTGCAGATTACTATACTTTTATGTGGAAAGTTGTTCAGATTACATTAAGACAAAGAAATACCAGTGTAAATAGCCCTGGTTTTATAAAAGAAAGACTATAGATACACAAGATATGTTTATAGTGAGAGGACTTGGAAAGATTTATACACAGGCTATGGTAGTGTTTGTTTTTGTATGATGGGTGAATTCCCGTCCGTCGTTATGGTTTTAGTTAGTAAATATATACTGCTTTTGTAAATTTTTAAAAAGCTATTTGGTTTTGCTTAAAAGTAGAAACAAGAAGTTTCCAAATTGGTTTCCATAGCTGAGTGAGTAATTAACTTGACAAAGTACCTACTTTCAAAGGGAGTCGTGTTCATTTGCACTTTCAAGTTATGGTATGTTCATTCACCTGTCTTAGAATTTTAGACATGCTTTGTATATTTATACACAGAATTATAATCCTAGAGGAACCTTTAGAGACCTTTTTGCTTGTCAGGAAGAAAATCCGAGAGCTTTTGATTTGGAGTCATGATAGAGTGAAGTTGAGAACCAAGATGTTGACTTCCTTATCTGCAGCTCCACATTGTGTGTCCAGGTTTTGGTTAGTTTTATGTTCATACATTTAACAACCCCTTATTGAATGTGTGATGTGAGGCATTATGCCGGATCTTGGCAATACTCAGTCCCTATCTTCATAGAGCTTTTAATATAGAGGAGCAGTTCCAACAGCGGAGCTGGCAGTTAGAATCCAGTGTAACAGAAGACACAGGAGCCCGTGGAACCCCAGCCACCCACGCCCGGAGAATCTGACTTCAGAGCCAATGGTGAGTTTCCCGTCCAGATGATCTGGGGAGCATGACTGGTTTCTCTTGAGGTGCCTGGCTTGAAAACCATTAAAATCTGAGATTAATTTTCTTAGAAAAGGCATTGTGATTGGGAATCATTTTTAAGGCTTTGTGTCTGCTGTCCTGGAGTTTTGCCTTGTTAGATGGTTTGTGCTGTACCTTGCAACTGAGAGGTTTTTTTTCTTCTTCTTAACCTAGGGAAAACCATTTTAGCCAGTGCGGCTCTTTGAAGGGAGCCTCCTGTCGATGGGCAGTGGCAGGATTCACATGTCTTACTGCTCATGCTTGCACTGCTGCTCATTCCATACATTAAGCAACCATATTTTTTCCCCAAAGATTGAGGATGTTTAGCCCATGTCTTATGATGTATGATTTCTTACCTTGTCATGCAAAGACACTGAAAATGAAGGCAAACGGGACCAAGCAGAGAGAGCAGCAAGTAGAGGACCTTTTATTGGTTTGTTCCCACTGTCCACAGGTGCTGTTCACGTCATCATTTCATTTTGACCCCTTGAATTGGTAAAGTATATGTAGGCAGCCAGACTTCATTTTGCAGAGGTTCATACGTCTACTCTGTGAAATTGTATCCTAGGATTTTTTTCTTCATCGTAAGTTTTTGTGTATTGACCCCATTATATTGATTCTCATGGCATTTGAAGCACGCATGCCTGTTTGAACAGCATCCTTTTCCCTCTTCCTTCCCTGCTAGGTACAAGGGTCTTTCTTCATGCCAGATTCTACAAGCAGACAGGGAGGAACTCCAAGGCCATTTCCACTCCTGAAATCCCTGGTTTCTGCCGTAATATTTCACTGTCCACAGAATCTTTGATTAGTTATATCATATTAGTTTTGGATAAAAATGTTTTCTGATATAATTATCATATTATTTATTCAGAAGGCAGAGAGAGAGAGATGTGTCTTCCAACTGCTGGTTCACTCTCCAAATGGCTGCAACGGCTGGAGCTGGGCGGATCCGAAGATAGGAGCCTCTTCTGGGTCTCCCAGAAGCTGGGTTGGAAGTGGAGCAGTTGGGACTCAAACTGGTGCCCATATGGATGCCAGCACTGCAGATGGCGGCTTTACCCACTGCACCACAACACCGGCCCCTCGATTGTTTGATTTCTTTTTTTAAAATCTACTTGAAAGGCAGAGCCTCAGAGAGAAACAAGGATCCTTCCACCCACTATTTCACTCGCCAAATGCCTGGGAAAGCCAGGGTTGGGCATGTCCAAAGCCAGAAGCCAAGAATTCCATCCAGATCTTCCATGTGGATGGCAGGGGTCCAGGCACTTGAGCTCATCATCCAGTGTCTCGGGATGCCATAGCAGGAAGCTGGATTGGAAAGCAGAGTAGCTGGGACTTGAACCAGGCAGTCTGATACCAGGTGCCAGTGACCCAGGTGGCAGCCTAACCTGCTGTGCTGTTGAAAATATTTCTAACCAAGTTTTATTTTCTTTAAAAAGTCAGTGTTGGGGCCCAGTTTGTGATGTAGTGGGTTAAGCTGCCGCCTGCAATGCTGGCTTTCCATATGGGCTCCAGTTCAAGTCCAAGGTGCTCCATTTTCAGATCTAGCTCCTTGATAATGCTCCTGGGAAAGCAGCAGAAGATGGCCCAAGTACTTGATCACCTGTACTCACATGGGAGACCCGGAAGAAGATTTGGCCTGCCTCAGCCCTGGCTATAAAGCCATTTAATGCGTGAACCGTTGGATGGAAGATAGCTCTGTGTCTCCTCTTTTGGTAACTCTGCTTTTCACCTAAATAAATAAATATTTAAAAACAAAAAGCTAATGCTACAGAGTTGGTCACATTTTTTTAACAAACTAAATTTTGTACAGTTTTAAAGTTGGGCATTCTAATTTAACACTTAATGAAGCTAATAAAATCACATTTAAAAAAAAATCCATGAATCTGTTCAGTCCTGAAATTTCAACAAAATGTTCTATATATACTTTAGCCAAAAATTAGGTAATGACATTTTAATGATCAAATTAGGATAACTGGCATCCATCACTTCATATATTCAAGATTTCTTTGTAGGGTGAACATTCAAAAGTCTTATTTCTAGCTATTTAGAAATATATGTTATTGTTAGCTACTGTTACCCTACTGTGCAATAGAACACCGGAAGGGTTATTTTTA